GCATTAATGAGGCCCTTCCTTGCTAATTAACAGGCCCACATGACAGGAACCTGTAAAGGCCAGTCTGTCCCAGCAAGCCTCAGCAAGCCTGACCCAAGTAACAGAGAGAGCCCTTTGTCCAAGGGCAGAGGGGACGCTGACTGTTAGGCTGGAGTGAAGGGGCATGGGGGCAGGGAACCACAGAGCAGAAGAGGAGGGACCAGAAGAGGAGCTTGGGGGTGAGGGCAACACAAAGGACTCCCCAGTGTGGGGACTAGAGGGGAATAACACAGAATCTGGGCTTTCTACTCAAAACCTGGTCCACAGAGCAGCTGTGACGGCTTCACCTGAGAATTTGTTAGAAAGGCAGAGTCTCGCCCCATTACAAACCTAACAAATCAGAATCGAGCTTAACAAGGTCTCCAAGTGATTGGACAAACATTAATGTTGGAACTGCCCGCAGCTGGAAGGACTTTGAGTCAACTAACTGAGTTTTTTGAGCCAGCCTGTTTCCTCAACTGAGAAAGCATATGCCTGGATCAAGAAATGGTAGCTGATAATAATAATGGTATTGTTATTATTATTTGTCTGGGAAAGAAGAGGCACCCCGTAGCTAGTACTCAGGGGTTAAAGAAGGGTCTGACTTTCTGGGGTCGAACAACAGGGACAAGAGGAGCTTATATAATGCAGCAGCAGGCAGGGTGTGTATGTGTGTACAGAACTAATGGCAAACCACAGTACACCTCCAGGGGACAGGAATAAACAAGAGTCTCCTTCATACCCTGACAAAGCATAGGTCAGCTTTCGGTCAGCTGGTGCCAACCCAGCCCAGGCTGGCAATCTGTGCTCTGCTCTGGGGTTTCAGGGCTTCCCACCCTTTAGCATGGCCTGAGACACATCAGGGGACTCCAGGATTAGACACCAGAACCAGCCACACCAGGAAGTACTAGATTCTGCTGATAAGGATCTGGCCACAGTCCTTATACATTTATTTAGAAAGGTCGGAGGTTCAAACCCACCAACTGCTCTGCAGGAGAACGATGAAGCAGTCTGCTTCCATAAAGATTTACAGCCTTGGATGTCTTATGAGGCAATTCTACTCTGTCCTATAGGGTCTCTATGCATTGAAATTGATTTGATGGCAATGGGTTAGTGGGGTGTGCCCTGCAAGGAGTCCTAAGGGGAAAAACAGTCCAGCTCCATCTGGGGAAGGAAACCCCAAGGTTCTTAAATCTTTGTCTTCAAAAGAATCACATGGGAGCTGATTAAAAACCCAGATCCTGGGCCCTAGCCTAACGATTCTAAATTTATGTGTGGTCCCAGGAATCTGCCTTTTAGACAAGTGTGATGAAAATGATTTCCATTTGGAGGAACAGGGCAGGAAGAAGAACCCCCCCCCCCCCCCAGAAAACAAGGGCGCCCCACTGCTGGGGTGGGAGTGCTGGTGGTAGATAATGTACTGTGGCTCAGTTAATCTAAGAGGTAAGGGAGGAGTCCACAGTGACTGGAAGCTTTGCTCCAGCAGCAGCCTGGTCCCTTATGTGGGGATTTGCAAAGATCCACACCATCTCAGCTCTGCTTTCCCAAGCATTTAAGAAACAATTGTGTGGCCTTTTTAAGGCTCTTGCTTGGGATGGGGGAAGGAAGAAGGCTTAATTAGGATTGTAATTGTATTAACTGAAGCCTGCCTAATAGTTCCTGGAATAAATGTTAAGGAAATTCTTTAAAGAAAGATTTCACATGACTGTTTGCATTTTCCCCCAGCTGCTGCCAGCCTGCCCTTGTGCAAAACACATTTTTACAAGGCTGTAGCCACAGAGCAAGCAGTTACTCATTAATTCCTTCACACTCCTACAACGATTGCCCCTTCATCCCACCACCTCTTCTCCAAGGGCCGGATACTGCCTGCAGCTGACCCCAGGCTCGAGGAGAATGTCACAGACTCAGAGGCCCTATGGAACTCTAATCTCAACTCCTTTGAGACTTTAAGACGGCTTAGGTTTCTCTCCAGTCTACAGCACTATTAGAAAGAACTGAAGCAGGTGAGGGCAGGAAGTGATGAAAGCTGACAATGACCTGACAATAATAAATCAAAGGAGCTCTGGTGGTGTAGTGATTAAGGTATTTGATTGCTAACCAGAAGAATGGTGGTTCAAACCCATCAGCCACTTCATGGAAGAATGATGAGGTAGTCTATTTCCATAAAGATTTACAGCCTTGGAAATCTAATGGGGGTCTCTGAGTTGGAATCCACTCGAGAGCAAAGGTGGGCAAACTTTTTCTGTAATTGGTCAGATAAAATATTTTCAGCTTTGCAGACCACACAATCGCTATTGCATATGTCGCAACTACTCAACTGTGCCATTTCAGCATGAAAGCAGCCATTGACAACTGTAACTGATGGGCATGGCTGGTTGTATTATCATAAAACTTTATTTACAAAACAGGCTGTGGGCCAGATTTGACCTGGGGCTATAGTTTGCCAATCCTTACTTTAGAGCTTTTATTTTTTAATGCTCTTCTACTGTCATGTAGGCAGTCTGGACCATCCCCATTTCACAGAAGAAAAAACTGAAGCCCAGACAGTAACTAGCTACTACATTATTGATTCAAACCAGGTCTGGCATCTCTCTCCATCACATCACACAATCCACAATACCACCCTCCCATATCCTTTTACCCCCTACCCTTCAGGCCCACGTGGTCTGCTCAGCAGGGAGGAAGGGCAC